TTTATATTTTAGACTTTGTTTTTAATGTCTGTTAATACTTTCATTGAAGACTATTAGAAACAAAGAACTGTCCACTGTCCACTTTTCTTCTGACTGTCCAACAATTACTAAAAAGAAAGAAGGTACTTTTCTTTACCTTTTGATTTAGTAAACAAAGACATCTTGTCATCTTTTATGACATAATAATGGGTTGCTGACTTACTTTTCCTTGGTTTTAAATGGGTTCTTATTAAATTGTCTAACAGTGCTTGTGATCAGCCGTGGCACGTAGATGTTCTAGAATAAAGATTTCAAATATTAGTTTTGTTAATTTAGCCCTTCTTTCTGGACAGACAATACCTTTTGATTGCTCCAGAGAACCAAGGTTCCTGTGGATACCTGCTATATCAGTGATAATGGCTTATGTGTTTATAATCATGTTTAGAAGGCTGAGGCAGGAGGCGTGCCTGAGCTCAGGAGTTGGAGGCTGCTCTGAGCTATGATCATACCACTGACTTCAGCTTGGGTGACAAAGTGAGACCCCATGTCACAAAAAATAATAAAAGAGAGAGAGAAGAGAAATTAATTTCTACGAAAAAATAAAGCATATTTCAAATGAGACAGCAAAAAGAGATTCTTTTGAAAAAAGCTGATCTCTAATATCCCCTTGAAAAGGCCAGTTTAATTTTCAAAAGAGAGTCACACACTTTCCTAAATCTGACTTCTCATCTGTGCAGGGGAGCTTTGGATTTGACCACCATAACAGTTCATGTTGGGCATACTGTCTATGAAATAGGATGTTTTAATATGCATAAAGACTGTATTTGCAAAAAAATTACCATCCAATAAATGAAGTAAACGGAACATATACCAATCTGTCTAGACACTTCTACTATGGATGGTGGGGTATTTTTAGGGAAAAATAAGCAGTGCTTGTAGGGTGAATAATAAGGAATCACATCTGTCACTGTCAGGTGGGTTGATTGTATCTACCAAAGTCACCATTATTATTGCGAGGAAATGCATGCATTACACACTAAGGCACACACGTACACACACATGCACTAAAAGTTTTAGAAAAATCTCCATAAAAATGTCTGCCATTTATTTTCATGTATGACTGAAAAATGTGAGTAAAGTGTATCTCTTTTGCACAGAAGGATGGTTTATTATTTTTTTTTCAGTCAAAACTCAGTAGTTGATGATGTACACATATTTAATTTTATCCTAATGAAAAGTACAACAGGAGCCATAGCTGGGCAGCTCCGGAAGTTGTTTAATGTCTCAGTTCTGCCTTACGAAGGCGCTTCACAGATGAAATGTAGATAGAAAAGTTCTTTGGAAAAGTAAACCAGCATATAAATACAAGATAGTGTTTCTTTTGTTACTGCTCTATGAAAGCGAACCATTAGAAATCTGATGCCAAACGTGGGCCTACCCTCTGCCGCAAAATAGCTTTTTGAAACACTCACTCTGGATAATACATCTTTTGTTTTCCACTGATATTATACATTATACTGTACATTAAACAGGATACTCCAAGGTCTGTAACACAGGATTTTTACTGCTATAAAAATAAATTTAGACTATAGGCCTGTTGAAGGAATATGTTGCTGACTTCTGCAAACTACATTTTTTTTTTAATTAAAAAACCCTCACATCAGTTGTTAACTTTCATATGTTCAGTGTGTAAGAAAAATGTTCCTTTCTTCCCTCCTACCAACGTAGCGTCCAGATACTTGTACCACTAAAATGTAAGCCAGTTTGGGGCAGGAATTTTTATTTTAATGGTTCACTTTGTATATCCAATCATTGTAATAGCATTAGGCTAGACGGTGGTGGCAAAGTGGAAGGTTAACTTTATTCTTTTAGATTAAATCATTCATTGATTCATTCATTTAACAAATATTGATCAAGTCTGATTGCATTTTAATAACTCTGAGGGGTCATAATCAAAAAAAGAGAATCTGGCAGGCAAAGAAGTAACTCCAAGATATGATATATTTTAAAATGGGCCTCTACAGGGCTGAGCACAGTGTGGCTCACACCTGTAATCCTAGTACTCTGAGAGGCTGAGACAGGTGGATTACCTGAGCTCAGGAGTTCAAGGCCAGACTAAGCAAGTGCGAGACCCTGTCTATAAAAAGAAATGGTCAGGCGTTGTGGTGGGTACCTGTAGTCCTAGCTATTTGGGAGGCTGAGTCAAGAGTATTGCTTGAGCCTGAGTTTGAGGTTGCTGTGAGCTATAATGCCATAGCACTCTATTGTGGGTGACAAAGTCAGACTCTGTCTCAAAAAAAAAAAAAAAAAAAAAAAAGAAAAGAGGCCTCTACAAAGTATTATGGCAATATGGAAATAAAATGATCTGATTCTATCAATGGAAATCAGAAATTTTTTTTTTTTTGTAGATTACATATTTAATCTTGGATAATGTGTAAAAGTTTTAGTTGAGGAAAATAACTGAATATTAACGGAGGTAATGATAGTGTTGGAAACAGTCTTCATGGGTCTCCTGCATTTCTGCCTGTCTTACTAGCAAGATAGTAATTGCCTTTCTTTGGAATATCTATTCCAGAATGTTTATTTAGCAAAAACCTTGGAAAGATAAATAGTATCTCCCTCTAAAGAAATGACATACATGGAACATATGGAAATCTGTCTAGACATTTCTACGGGTGGTGTTATTTTCCTAGGGTAAACAGCAATACCTGTAAGGTAGATAATAAATGATTCTATCTGTCACCATCAGCTGGATCGATCATACACCGAAGTCACCTATTATCACTGCTGGGAAAGCAAAGGGCAGGTCTACAGCCTACAGCCCATTATGAAGTATAGAGGTTTCCAAGTGAAGCTTCTGCAAGGCTATCCACTACACCCCACCTGGTCCTCCTCCAGTCATCTAATTTATCATCATAGATGTTGATGCGAAAGCTCTCTCTTAGTGATCTTGTCTCTTTCCAAACCTGACCATCTCTGTAATAACTTTTTCTGAGAAGCTTAGATGTGTACAAACCATGGCTAGTGGGGGAATCCCCCTAAATGTTATACAAGCACGAAGAATTCAATGATTCAAAACTAAGCTCATTATCCCCCACTAGAACGTGCTTCTTCTCAGAAATTTCCCACCACACACACCCTTTATCTTTTCTCTTGCCTTCTGTATCTAACAGAACTGTTTCTTACCAATTCTGTTTTGGCTTAGCCCAGCAACCAACACAATGCACGATGCACAGCTCTCAACAATTTGAATTAACCCAATGGCAGGAGAAATTCACTGATACAGTCCCAGTGAACGTCTTCTGTCCCTGGGTTAATTCAAATTGGCTAGAAAGATGAAATATTAGGGTTAAATTCAAGAATCAAAAATGATATTACGTGAGCACATATTCTGCGTTGATCAAAATGGTCATAATTGTTAATGATCTTTAATTTGTTCAGATTTCTTGTTAATAAGGCAAGCTACAGCACATTGATGCCAAGGAAGGCTCCTAGCTCTTTAATTGTCCTCAGCACGTGGTTAACATTATGTAATTTTAAAATATACATTGCCTTTTAGTAAAGAAATACTCTTCTTGCATTTATGCTTCAAGCTAATTTTTGTTAAAAATGCAATTTCAAGAGACAGTCAGTGATAATGAGACCACATGGCTTAAGATTGCCTTGTTTTGATTTTGTTTTTGTTTCATTTCTAGCCACTTAGGACTGGTGGTCATAAGAAAGAGGAGTGAGCTTTTCTAATTTACTCCAACTTCCCACGCCACAGTTTTGCCTGATGGAAATTACAGCCACTCGTAAATTAGGCATGATTTCAAAATTGTCATCCAAAACGGAGCCTGGAGCTGACTGATGAACTTCAGGGCTCCCCTCTCATCCTTTCACCCTCCCATGTTACCTTGATACATTACACCCTGCACAGATGAGAATTCTTTCCCTTTTAGGTTAAGCATTAGCCTATTGAATGGCTCAGTTTTATGGACACTGTGTAGAGGGTTTTATGAATATTGTAAGAGAGACCATCTGGGTTCTTTCACTGAGTTAACACAGAATGCTGATAAAGCCCAAAACAGCTTTGAGTCCTAAAATGGCTATTTTGCACTCTCCTGTATGATGGATATGAACTGGATTCTGTGTCCAACACACCCACTTCACCTGTGTATGCCAGTGATTATTACACGACAGGGTGAGAAAAGGTGATTGGTTGACTTCAATTCATCATTCCTAATGAAAGGCAAAACCAGAAAACTTTCAAGTAGAGGTTCTTTGCATCCTGGCTGCCTCCATCAACTATTCATTTAAAGAACCTGAGGACACTTTATCCACACCTAACTTAGCTTGGAGGTACCAAGAGAGCATGTTGGCATAGTTGGAAAAGCTACAGGCTACTTCTGACACTAATTGCAATGGTAAATTTAGAAAGGCTCTTCCTATTCTTTTCTATTTTAAATAGAAGACTTCTACGCTAGTGGTTCCAGAGTCTAGACCAGTGGTTCTCAACTTTCCTAATGCCACGGCCCTTTAATTCAGTTCCTGTGGGTTGTGGCAGGTTGAGAACCGCTGGTCTAGACCATCTGCCACCTCAGATTCAGGGAAAAAGTAGGACAAAGTGTTGGTTATCTGTGGCTGGAGCAAGTCTGTTCCCAGTGGACTACTGGGGTCCTCCTAGAGGTATGTCTTTTAGAGGGCAGTGTTTAGGTGGTAATTCTTTATCATAAAATGCAGAATTACCCAATATCCTTGCTCTTTAGGTCCTGGGCCACAGTTATAGTTTAGAAATATATCCTTTGAATTTAATTTTACCTATACTTACTACATGCATATCACTCCATTATAAGAAAAAATAACTTCCCTTTAAAAATAATATACATAGGATATTTGGAGTATATCATTGCTTTTACTTCTTATTTTTCAACTTTCTCGGGTAAGAGTTTCACAAAGTATAATTGTTTACCTTTTCAAATAAGAAAGTGTGGCAATATGAAAGTTATCTCTTTTTCCCATTCTTCTGTTTTGCATTTCAGGAATCATCTCAGTTACCAGGACTCCCCGAGTATGTTAAAATAGTAGAAGTTGGACCTAGGGATGGATTGCAGAATGAAAAGGTAATTTTCTGTTAGTTTTACGGGATTTATTTTAAATGCTAAGTTTAAATATTACTATTTCTTAAGATTTTAAAGACTTAAATGGATTTCATATCTTCTTATATCTGTTCTCAATTGCTACTTGAATTTATAAATCATAAATAATATTTGCTTTCTTAGGAAGTGATTTTCTGGTTATGCTTCCAAAGTCCCTTTATGATTTACTTATACAATGAACCCTCTTTTGTTGTTTTCATAGGTTATAGTTCCTACAGATATAAAAATTGAATTTATCAATAAACTTTCCCAGACTGGCTTGTCTGTAATAGAGGTGACCAGCTTTGTGTCTTCCCGATGGGTCCCACAGGTATGTTAACCCACGATTCCTAAATTAGATCCTTAGTTCAACTTTGTCAGAAATTACGTAGTAAATCCTTTATGTATGTGATGATATTAACATGATGTAATTGCTAATTTTCCATATTTTTACAAAATATGAGCCCATGCACTCAGATATGATTAAGAAAAAATCGCCTGATGAAATATTTTATGTCAATGGAGCCCTGGAAAGTTGCCTGGAACTCCATCCTAAACCAAGGCAAATGATGGTCCAATATAATGAATAAAAGAGAAGGTTCCCAAAGAGCAGTTTGGTTCCTGCCCTCCCTCTCCCACGATCTGGCCGACTTTCTGATGATCTGAGCATCTCCAAGTGCATTCACCTTTTTGCCTCTCTGGAGGGAAATGATAATAAGTGGTCTGATACCTTCCAAATAGAATCCCGTATTAAAGAGTGAGAAGTATAGATAGACATTCTCTTTGCCTCTTTTAGTGCTTTAATTTGCTAGCAGAATAAGACATCAAAGATGTCAAAGACAAAGCAAAGAGGATCATTTAGAATTTTCTCTTGAAAGATGACAAAATCATAGAGGTTTATCCGGAGTTTTTCAGGCAGATGGCAGCAGCCATTACTTTTGAGACTTGACTCTGATCGTGGAAACATGATTAGTAACTGTTAAAACACCTTCCTTTCCTAATCCTTTGCCCATTTTCAGACCTCTATCCCTCAGTCTCTCCCCAGCACTTAATTTTACTGATTACCATTGATCTCATTCCATTGATTTTCATTGTTTTTTTACTCATTTATTTCAGTGACTTCCCAAACTGCTCTTTTTCTGTCATGTCTGACCTGTTTTATGACTATTAATTTTAGGGTTTGCATGAATCTGTTTTTACTGCTGTTCTCTGCCCTGCCCTCTTCTCTGGCTCTCTCTCAAATATCATCAGTCACGTGATGATGAATCTACATTTCTAGTCCTGCCCTCCCTGATAATCTTCAGCTGAATGTTCCACCTGTTCCTCAAACCTCAACCTCAGGGGCTAAAATCAAGTTCATTATTGTCAATCCTCCATTATGTCAATAGCTCTGCTGTTCCCTTTATAGTCTTGGAGTTGGATCCACAAAGGGCTATGTTCTGTGTCCAATTACTGCCTTCGTCAGATAGAGCGACCAGAGCAGAATTCCACAGACTGGGTGGCTTAAACAGTAGAGATTTATTTATGACAGTTCTCAAAGTTGAGAAGCTTTTATCATTTCACTAGCAGTCATTAATTTTATAGGAGTGTCAGACTGTATTCTCCTCTTCAAGTCTTCATGAAGTTATCTCCATGTGTGATTCACTTTATGCTCATTTCATATATTTGGTTACTGCTGGAGAAGAATTAGACAGCCTGGTATAACTTTAGAATCGAAGTTATGAAAGGGCATGTCTTACTAATATCAATTGATGCATCTGACCAACCAAAGTTACATTTCAGACTAAATATTACTAGCCTGTTTCAAGATTTTTCTACTTCTCAATGGTTTTATAAAGGTGCCTACAAAGTATCCTTCTTTCCTCCAGTGTGCTCATGGCCACATTCTGGTCTCATACAGTAGTGGAAGGTGATTGATAGATAATTCTTTTTTTATTATTAAATCATAGCTGTGTACATTAATGCAGTCATGGGGTACAGTGTGCTGGTTTTATATACCATTTGAAATATTTTCATCCAACTGGTTAACGTAGCCTTCATGGCACTTTCTTAGTTATTGTGTTAAGACATTTATATTCTACATTTAGTAAGTTTCACATGTACCCAGATAATTCTTCAGACGCATTTAGGACACGCTTTATGTCATTTGGAAAGATAAGAGTGGAATGTTTTCTAGAAGGCTACGCTTCTTCTTGTGCAGCTAGTTCAGAGAAAACATAGACACAGGTAGTTAGGATAAAAAAATGGACAAAAGAAAAGGGAAGACAGTCCCTCTGTGAATAGCTGGAAAATGCCTCCTGTCTTCACATTAAGTAGATACGTGTGATGGGACTATAAAATGGTAAGATTTATTCTGGGTTTGTTCCTGAGTTGAATTCAGGACTTAACCTATTGGGATTAAGTGAACTCGTCCTAGGCTCAAAGTATTATTGAATAAGTGACTGAATTCCCTCAGGTAGTTTTTGAGGACTGCTATGATGAGAAGTGCTTCTAGACAGGGGCCCGCTCCACATTCTGCCTTGGCTTGCATAGGTGACTTAACCTCTCCGAACCTTGGAAATCCCAGCAGTGATGCCAGCACTACAGCAGGCCTGGGGGCTGTGAGGCACGTGAGTAGTCCCTGTGCGTGAACTCCCAGAGTCCAGAGTGCCTGGCTCCTGCCCAGTGCTTACCGGTGTTGAGTTAATGCCTGACAGACAGATGACGAGAGCGGTCGATTCTGGGCTCCACACCAGTTAACTGCCTTCCCTTTGATGCTCAGCCTTTCTCCTAAAGATTAAAGAATGTGTGTAGTTTAAATATTGGAATGCGTTTCATCTCAATAGCTAAAGATACCCTACCCTTCAAATACCGAAGTGTACCTTATATAGGTTACTCTCATATGCATCTGGTTAGATGCATTTCTAACAAGGGGTTTAAATAAACCATGTGTTTGTCAAAGAGAAGTGTGTCTGAATCCAAGACAGATACTGGATTGAGATCCATCCTAGATTTCAGGGAGCTTATCTGGACGGAGCATTATTTGATTTCTTTTTTGAACTTGTATATTATTCTCTCTCATTTTAGGATGAATTTTATAAGGTTGAATTTGTCTAACTCAAAGTACTTAATGTCTGGAATTTGTAACAGTGATTTTAGTACAGCAGTGTACATACACATTGACCGAAATAATTTGTACTTTTTAAGATTATCTATGTGGCTCTAAATTGGTATCCTATTAATTCTTTCTCTATTTTTCCCCTCCCACATAGGTCATGGGAATAGTCTTCTAGCTTGTGTTTAGATTGCTGCTCGTTCACTTATTTCTTTTTTTAGCATTTTAAAGCTTTTTTACAGCTTCCCTCCTACTGTTTTGTTTGGCAGAGGCTTTCTCACTCAACCAGCTAAAAGAAACGTTCCCGGTAGCAGGGTGCCATATAAAACAGGATCCTACACCTATAATCTAAATGGCTAGAAATGATAAAATACCTGCCACTAAAAAATACATGTTCTTTACAACTTATCTGGAAAAAGCTTTCCTTAGAGTGACATGTAACATGAGAACATTTGAAATGAGTCCAGATAGCCCCTTGCTCTGATGGAATGAACAATAGTAGCAGAAAGAACACGTGTTTATAAAAATAGATAAAGTTGATTACCGCTTCAGAATGTGGCCGCTAGAAGCTATTTAAATTATAAATACCGTAGTTTTTAAATAGCGAACTGGAGTTTTCTATGCGTCTTTAATCATTCGATTTTTAACCTCTTAAGTCACAAGTGATTGGAGTGACCCTCACTTACTTAAAAGGAAGAATTATTAAATGTACGTAACATTGAATATCTATGTATGTCATTTGTAAAGGCTCCGTTATAAATGTTTGTTCCCTAGTTAGTAAATTTTTGACTATTGGAATAGATGGCTCACAAGTCTTTTAGCAGGGTCTAGAGATAGATTTTCTTTATAAAAGTAGAAAGAAATGTACATAAAAAACTAACAATTATTTACAAGTCACTCTAAACTTAAAGATATGATCTAAACAACATATTGGTAACAAAGACTATGTAAACTTTTACCTACCCTGTTTTTAGTGAGTGATATGATTAGTTCGTTATTGGCAATGAAGACACATTTACTGGCTTGAAGTTTAAAATTTACCTTTGTGTTGACAAGATACAGAGGACTGTAGCTTCTGCTACTGAGTCCTATCTTGCCATCTATTCCAAGCTCTGTTTATTTGTTTATTGTGGAAGGTGGATGTGTGGATGAGACAAGAAAAGAGGCTATGTGTGTGTATGTGTGTGTGTATCTTGTGGAAAATATTCCGAGTGTCTGTGCCAGCGTGCATGCATGCATGAATTCAAATGCGTGCAATTGCCATGCGTCCCTGGCAGCTAGTAAAATTGAGCTGGTTCTTCTGTTTATCTACGTAACCAATAATCCCTGAATTTAATGGAGTAAAACAGTAACAACATTCAGTTTTGCTTTTGGTTTCTACAGATCAGGAATTCAGGAATGTTATAATCGGGTACCTCTAACTAGAGCTTTCCTAGGTACCGTCACGTGGTGGTCAGACGAGAACAGCTGGGGCAGGGTAGTTGGGGAAGGTGGGCTAGCTGGATCCCTCTCTGTTTTCCTTTGTTCACAGAACCCTCCAGGTGGTCTCTCTGTAGGGTGGATTTGGACTTTGTCAGACAATGGAAGCTTTTCAGACATCTAAAGCTCAGAGTTCTGATGACCAGAGATCCGAAGAGGAGTGTTCTGAGAGGCAGGCAAAGGCAGTGCGCCTTTTATAACCAACCCTTGTAAATTTCATTTCATTACTTTCCCATAAACTGTAAGTTGAGGCAGTTGCAAAGCCCACCCGGTTTCAAGGGAGGAGACAGACCCCACGTTTTGATTGGAGTGTGGCATTCTAGAAGAGCAGGTGGGATGGGAAATAGCATTGGAGTCATTTTTATAATCCATCATGCTTATGCTTTTTTAAATATAAGACCTAACAATGAACTTCATTATTAATAATTGAAGAATAACCTGTTTATCAAAGTATCGATTTTGGACTGACACTTTTTCAGAGTCTATTGTAATCTATTTGGCATAGGTGTCATGCACATGTGATTCAGTTCTCTCTGGCAAATCATGTAGCTAATAATTATTTGCTTTTGAAAGAGTAAATAGTAAGAAGACTTCTTTTCAGAGCAAATATCAATGTACTCCAGACATGAAAAGTGGCCATTAGATTTGCGTTGCTCTTTTGTTAGCCCAAAGCGCCCACATACGTTGCTATATTAAAATGTTTCTCTAAATTGGCAAAGTTTTCTCCTTTTAAATAAAAATAATTACCCATTCTTAAT